TGTCTACTCAGTCTTGATAGCTGAGTTGGAAGTGGATCGGTTGGTCCAGCGTGTCGACCTAAAGAGTTTAGGCGACACCAGTGCGGGCCCCAACCCGCCGTTGGGGCGAGGACCGAAACTGGGCACGGTCCAAGCGTCCCAAGCTGCTGCGGCCAGCAGTGGCGCGGCGAGCTCCTCGACGGTTGTGCTGGCCCCTGCGGGCCGTGTCATGGCCGCGGGGGCCGCCCAACCTGTTACCCCTCCTAAGGCCGCGCCTAAGGCCAAAGGGCGTCTCTCAGGGACTCCTAGGACTTCGATCGTGCCAGCGAAGCCCAAGGTGTACCCTAGGCGCAACGTCCCTGGCCCCAATGTCCTCGAGGCCGAAGACTCGCTCGAGGAAGAGGCAGCCCAAGAAGCTGAAGGTGTCGAGGAAGATAGTTCCAGCTCGGATCTTCCCGACACGCGGGCGCCTCCAGCCGCGGTCAAGGTGAAGGAGGGCGAGGAGCCCGCAAGTGGGGCCCAGGCCGAGAGCACAGAGGAAGGAGTCCTCGTGCTCGGCCAGTCAGTGGTCACCAGCGCGAAGGAGTACCTCGCGCGGTCCGAAGCTCTTCTGAGAGCGCAGAAGCTCCAGTCGAAAATACTGGAGGTTGCGGGAACCGCGATGGTGAAGCTGGAGAAGATCACCAAGCGAGAGGAGTCCCTCAAAACACTGCGCCGAGAGGGAGAGAGTCGGGCGGCCGGGGAAGGCGCCGACGGGGAAGAGGTGTCTGACGATGGTCAGGACGCCCCCAGGGTTGCGGGGTCGAGCAGTTCCGCCAGGCCTTCTGGAGGCGGGACTGCCCAGTCCGCCTCAGCCTCAGAGGAGCCTCGCCCCAACGCTGACGGCCACTACGGATGTTCGGCTCCGGGATGCGGGCTGGCCTTTGAGTCGCTGGTGCAATACCACTTGCATCAGGCGGCCTGCCATGGCGCCTCTCTTCCGCCCAACCTGGGGATCAGCCCCTCCGCACCTCTTGACCCTTTTCGTCAGGACTGGCGGGGACGGCTGTTCCGCCGAGGAAGGGACGGTGGGTATGGGGAGGTGCCCATGCTCCGAGTGATTAGGTACCACAAGGCCAACGGGTACGATCACTCGAGGGTCCCGCTCCTGAGGCGAGGGGACCGAATCCAGCTTGAGGATGGATCGCACCACATCTATGGTGGTAGCCATCCGCCGGGGTGGCTTCGCGACGACCCCGAGCTGGACCCCCCTCCAGAGGGAAGCGATGGAGGGTCCACGCCCAAGAGCGAGCCCACGGAGGAGGCCGATCCCGAGCCTCCGCGGAAGGCCGCTCCGCGCGGGCGGGCCCTCGAGCCGCCGAAGGGCGACGTCCAGCGACGCCTGGCCGAGCGTCGCTCCAAGCGAGATTACTCGCCGGACCTGGTGACGCCTCTTGACGATCTCCATGCCAAGGAGATCGACTCCTTCTTCGCGGGCGACCCAGCCGCGGATAGCCTTGACGTCATTTTGATGCGCGCCGAGGTTCGCACTGAGTCCCACCTCAAAGTTGGCCGGGAGCGAGAAGAGCCCCTGGCCAAGGAGGAACAGGAGGAGGAGGCGGAGGTCGTCAAGGACGAGGAGGTCTCGGTTGAGATGGAGGCAGCCACCGCGGATGAGGCGGACGAGGTCGCCCTTCCAGCCAACCGAGCCTACGTCGAAGGCCGCTTTTACCCCTACGGCAGCTGGCGGTGCTTCTTCTGCGAAGCCATCAACCCGGTTACGGAGGACCAGTGCCTCACCACGCACGCGGGCGGCCCGAATGCGGGCGCCCCGTGCGACGGCCGATGGATCAATGGGATCGACATCGGGTGGTGGGAGGTGGATCCTCAAACCGCGCCGGAGCAATGGCGGCGGAGGTTTTCTGCCGAAGAGCTTGAAGACCAACAAGCGCGGGCAGATGCCGCGAGGCTCCTCAGCGACGAGGAACTCGCTGAAGCCCTCCAGGCGGCCGAGGAGGCGCAGGCGGCCGAGCGCGCCAAGAAGCGGGAGCGGCGCCAGGCGGAGAAGGCGGAGCGCGATGATCACATCAGCGAGGCGCTCCGCATAGCAGGGTGGCAGTGCCCTAACTGCTATGAATGGAACCTTTCATTCAGGCAGCTGTGCTTTAGGTGCAGCACGCCCCTCCGCTTGGCAGAGGTCGTTTCCCGCGGGATCCCGGATCCGCGGCGCGGCGAAGAGAAGGACTCGGGCTCCGAGAGCAGCCAGGACGAGCTGGAGTACGAGATCCTTCTGGCCAATCGCGCGATGGATCAGGAAACGATCCAGCCTCTTCTTAGAAGCAAACACAAGAAGAGGGGCGGCAAGAGACGTCGCGAAGAGGCGACGTACGGCAAGGGCCGCGACCCTTGGAGTGCTTGGGCAGACGCCCGTGGCAAGGGCCAGGGCAAGCCGAAGGGCAGAGGCAAGTCCGATGCCAAGGGCAAGCCCAAGGGGAGGGGCAGGTACGGCCCGGCCACCGCCGAGTGTTCCGCTTCCGCCGCGGACCCCGTTTTTCCTATCGCGGGCTCCTCAATCGGTTGATGCACGCCCTCAACGGGAACATCAACGGATGGTGGGGCCTGGCGGCTGCAGCGTCGGCGCCGATTGCCTTGCAGTTGCACCGCGGGGCTGTGCATGTTGTCGAGGACTCTATGCACGCGGTTGCAGCGGTTTCGGCCGACGTGGTCGAGGAAATCGGTCACGGGGCGAGGCGGACCGTGTGGGTCGCCGGAACAGCCATCACTCTCGTGGTAGTGATCTTGTGCAGTGCTGTTCTGTGGTACGTGAGTCGTGCCGTTGCCAATCGCATTGCGCATTTGCGACATGGCAACACCGCGGCCCCTGAGGCGCGGCTGTCTCAACTCCTTGGCTCTGAAGCGACGTTTGAGGTCGCGAGCACCAAGAAAGGGGTGACCCATAAGGTTTGGGTGCACCTCAAGGAGGAGACAGCTGCCTGTGGCTGTCGTGCTTACCTGGCAGAGGGACGTTGCGGGCATTGCGATGCCGCAATGGACACCGCTCGATCCCTAGGGTTCTTGCACGCGGCCCAGCGAGGCGCGGGTCCTGCGCTCACAGACTCCATTCGGAGTACCGCCTCCGATGCCCTAGCTAAGGGTAAGGTGGTGTTGGGTTTGGGGAACAGTGAAGGGTGTTTCTCCCAACTTGCGGCCAAGAGCCGCGGGCTCTCCTGCTTTCAGGGGCTCGCGGGTCGTGACCTGGCCGCGGCCCCAGCAGATGGAGCGAGCGCAGCCCACGCACAGTCCGGCTCCGTGCAACGTGCCGCCACTGCCACTGTGGCGCGCACGCCAGGCCGGAGGAACAAGGGCCCAGCCCCCGCTAGGAGTTCTCCAGTCAAAAAGAAGCGGAATTCCTTGCGGGCGGGCCATACGTTCAGGCCGCCCAGACGCTGCTTGGGTCTGGAGCAGCAGAGGATGTGATCTACATCCGGGCTTACAGCTTAGATTGCCCATCCTGCATCGAGGCAATCGAAGCGTCGCTTGGCAAGGGCGCAAGCGTTCGGATTGTCGCCGACATGGGACAATGCCACCGCACCAAGCTTCAGTGGCAAGCGTTGAAACGCTTGGCGGCCGCAGGTGCCGAGGTGAAGGTGGGTTGCGGCACATCCTTGCGCGACGCCTATGCTCGCGACGGCCGCGGGGCTAAGGTAGGCACCGGGATTCAAGGGCTGCACCATGCCAAAGCCCTTTGCCTACTGCGGCCTGATGGCGCGGTGGTGCTGATTGGGAGCCTCAATTTTACCACAAGCAGCAAAGCCAATGCGGAGGCAGGGCTTAAGCTTGAGGTCCCCGAGACGCACCCTGTCGCGCAGTCCTACATCGAGGATTTCCAGAGGGTGTCGGCTGAGGCATTCTCCCTCGATGAGGCGGTTGCAAAGCGCCCTCAGTTGGAGCGAGCCAGTAGCTCCAACGTTGCTGGCAACGCCACTCGTGCCCCCAACACTGCTCCACGGGGTATCGAGTAGGCTGCGGCCAGTCGGCGCGGCGTGGTATGCATCCACGCATTATCAGAGCAGGCGTTGCAGCACGGCACGTTGCTTCGCCAACCTTTTGCACTTTCTTTTTCTTGACTGCGGGCGGAGAGCCGCGGCAGGTTCGAAACCTGCCCATTTTGCATTCCCCGCACTTTTCTCCTCCGCCCTGCCTGTGGCCCCTCGTGCCGAGGGTGCTCTTTTGCAGGTGCTGCGGACCGTGTCCTGGTCGCGGCAGTGCGCTCGCCGAAGCGCGTGCGAGTTGCACTGGCTGCGGCACAAGCAATGTGCGCGGCTCTCGCTGAGTCCGGTAGCCCGTAGGGTAGTTCTGGATAGGTGAGTAGCCGTAGCCGTAGCTTAGGGCCGGTAGTTTGTACAGTGTACCATTTGTACCATAGTCTGCGTACTGGCAGCTAGAGACCAGCTCGAGGATGCAAGAGCCTCGCCCACCAGCAAAAGGGTGAGGACCTTTAGGGAAAGGGCTGTTTAGGGCTGCTGAGGGTTGCTGTCGTCGTGCGTTCGGGCGTAGCTGCACAAGTGCTTGGACTCACGAAGTCGTAAAACAGCGTGACCGGGCTGTGATTGCATTGGCTGAGTGCAAGTCCAGTGCTGGTCGACTTCACAAAGTTAGGTTTAAGGCTGCGCAGGACCCGGTTTTTGAGGTATGGTGTGTAGGACCTTGTCCTTGAGGTTTGGGCCGCAGCGCACACACAGGAGACGTGTACAGCCACATTTGCATCAACAAATTCGAGAAGTGTACCAGGTATGTTCTGCCGTGCGTTGGCTGTTAGAAAGAGGATCTGAGTCGGTCCTCGATTGGGAGACCTCTTATTTGTGGCAGCCGAAATGGTTGTATTTAGCTTTTTCAGGAAGATGGGAGCGTTCTCTCTTCGAACTTTTTTGGCGATCGCAAAACGGAAGTGTTCTTAGAGAAGTTAAATTCGCAAGGGGCCTCGGAATTTCAACCCTGAACCCTGAACCCTAAGCCCTGAAGCAGCTTCTTCTTCCTCCCAGGAATGCCGGCGCCACCGGAGCACGAGGACGAGATGGGCCGGCCGGTGGGGGCGCGCACCTTCTGGGAGGCGCATGGAATTCCCAAGATTGAGCTGCTCCAGAAGTTTCTGGAAGACTCCCATGCATACTACGGTTGTGTGTGTGGAGGCATTGCCACAAGCCAAGGGTAGTCTAGGTTAAGGAAGATCTTGTGACAGAGTGCAGGAGTGCGTAATGCGCAATGCTGGATACTTCAACGCGCGGCACGGCCGAAGAACAGCTCCAGGTGATTGACATGGTCGGACATTTGTTTGTTGTGCATTGTTTGCGACCTGTTCGCGTTGAGGGCGTCCAAGTTTGGGATTCTTGACATGGGTACATGGGTCCAGCCCAAGCTGTGGCAATGCTGGGCAGTTGCACGTCGTCCGAATCCTTATGGTTACGGATCCCTCTTTCCGACCACCTCTGCGTTCTTCCCTTGTTTGGCCGTGTTAGCAGATCCGACATAGAACATTGAACGTGCTGCTTGGCACAGACTATGCGCAACGTTGATTTTGGAGATGGGGAGTGAAAGGAGAAGGGTGTGGGGGCGTGTAGCCGTGGCGACGGTGTCGGTGCTTGCATACAGGGTCTCATGCATATTCTAGATCTGTGTTTGGCTAGTTTTTACGTTCCTGTCGTTGAGTTGTGCTACAGCCTTGTCGGGGCGTCTAACACCAAAGCTGGCGGGCAAGTTTGTTTGGGTGCATGTTCCGCACTTGGGTTCATACGCTTTGTTGCGACGACGAAGAGCGTCCGGTGTTGCATGCCGAGGCTTGTTTGTGCTCCCTGGCTTGAATAGCCTGCGCTGATCTTGCATGGTTTTTATGAGTTTTTGAAGTTTTGGCCCCAGGACACCAATGGCTCCTACTCCGTGTTGGGTTTGGCTGCGCTGAACCACGGGGTCTGCTACCCGGCGCACAACCATGACAATCAGGACTGCAGAGTTCGGCGGTAGATACCTAAAGGGGTATAGATCTTACATGGCTTCAAGTCAAGCTGCATCGAGCCAAGGCATATGCCGCATATGCTACAGTAGTTTTCCTAAAGTAACCTCCCTTTCTTGTGTTGCATGTAGCTTCGGCCTAAAAGATACGGCAAGCAACGTCGCCCTAAAGGCACGACGGGTGCACACTAAATCGACTGCACTCCGTCGCTCCAGGGTTTGCGGGGTTAAGGGTTTGGAGCTTGAGGTTTAGGCTTTGGGGCTTTGGGGTCCCTGCGGCAGCGTGGGTGCTAGAAATCCTGCCTGCAGTCATCGCACTTTTCGGAATTCCCCACGAAGCTGATGATGGCCCACCAGAGAAGAGGTTGACCTGCGGGCAAAAAGAGTGTGTGCATAGCATCATCAACAAACGGCTCAGAGAGACACCTCTCAACGATGACGGCTCTTGCCGAAGGATTGCAGCACGTCTGTGAAGAACACTTAATTAAATAAGCAATCCAATGACCTTCTCTGTCTACAGAGACAGAGTGGAGAGACGCAAGGAGAAGTGGAGAGGGAAGATGGGAAAGGAAGGAAGGGCAAGGGAGGGAAGGAGGAGGGATGACCCTACGCATGAGAACAGCAGAAAAACCCGGTTCTTTTCTTCCGCCTCCCCCCCACGCTCCCCATTGAAGAATCTAGATCTTTGATGCTGCGGGCAACGCGTTGTCAGGAGGCTTACTGGCAACTGGGAGGGCCAGGGTGGTGGAAGACTTGGCCAAAATCCTTCCACAAGCAGCCGAACGAAAGGCACGGTTCCACATGTTGTTCAAGTCATTATTCTCCGCTGCAAAAGCACGAAAGAAGTCTTCTGCATGTACGCTCCCTTCCCCCCAGGCCATATTCAGAGATTAGGGTTACAAGTCCATCTGCCGGCCTACAGCTTCACAATCATCCAGGCCACGCTGCTGCCTGGTACGGGGCTTAAGAGCCGCTGTGCCGCGAGAGTCTGTTTGACCCTGAGGTGGTGTTGTGCACGAGATGGACACAACACACGACGACGACTACCTTTTGAGCCTGAGCTTGAAGAGCTCCTTAGTACATTGTCTTACATAGTGTATATATATATATATGTCGTTTGAAGAAATGCATATCTGATTTCATTCATTATGTATGATATATGATACGAAGGTTGCTGCGGTTACAGGTCCTCGAGAGGGTCTTTGTTTCCAAGGACGGTGTACTGGTGGGGCAAACCCGCCGGCATTGCCACCAACTATGCTTACAGCTGCTCGCTAACATTCAAGTCTCTTGTGATCTCTGGCATCCATGCGCCAGGAAGTCCTGTCTTCACATGTAGCGTTTCGCTTCGTATTCGCACCGATATGCCTTGCCAAGGCCATAACGTGCAAGAGCAAGGATCCTGCTTTAAAACGTACAGATCCTTGGCCCTGAATGCGTCTCTGACAGTCTTCATCAATCATGCCCTGACAAGTTTAAGCGTTGAGCCGAGGAACCGAACATGCCGATGTGCAGCATAGCTGCCCCAATCCTTACCGACCTCCTTGGGCCCCCATGGTACGACGAACCAATGCCGAGCCCTGAAGATCGTCACAGGAGAGCAGTCGTGCGACAATACAAAAGAGACCCAGATTCTGGCTTTCTGGTGCACCTGCAGATGGGCGATCTCTTTTCTTAAACACGTGCTTTGCGTGCTTTGTGCATTGCAGCTCCCGACTTGCCGTGAAGATCTTGTCCCCCTGTGCAGAATGCCTACTTGCGCAGCATCAAGAACCCGAAAGTTGTCCGACCCTCAACTGCTCAGGGCCTGGGCTGGAAAATAGGAGCCAGTAGAAGCCCAGTGGAGCCTTGTCACATCGCAGTTAGCCACCGCCACAGAATCGATTCTTAAGCAGATATGCTGAGTAACTGACTGCACATCAGCTCAATGTTGCCAGAAGGCCGACATTTGCAGGATCTTGTGCTTGTGCCGAGGACGTGCGGGTCACACGTCGGATGGAGGCAAACCCGCATTTCCCTATTGACATCTGCAGAATTCTACGGAGTGCACAGCTATCTTGTGTAGCACAGCCAGGGCTTTGACAGCAAAGTGGTGGATGTGGAAGAGGACGTGGGTTGCTGGGGTTGAAGGTAGTCATTCCTTTCGGACAGCTGTAACACGTCTAGGCTGCATGCGCATATGCGAAGGTGTTGGGGCGCATGAATGGTCAATGTCCATGCGGGCTCGATTGTTTGCATGGAGGAGCCGCCAGAATTGCCCGAGGAGATCAGCAGCAAGTTGCTGTGCCCTTGAACCGCAGTGTAACCGGTGGTCAGATGCAGCATTTCACCGCAGCATGTCCATGCTATGGTTTGGCGCGCATCTTGCGCCATCCCTGCTGCAGTGCCGTATCGGGCAACACGATCACTATCTGAGGAAAAGTCTAGCCTAGCCTGCTAAGCCCCTTCCCGGAGTTCAAACTTCAAACTCTTGGTCCCGACGGCTTCCTTGACGCTTTGCCATGCGTTTTCCGCAGGTATTATCTGCAGTCGGCTCGGCAGCTGACGAAGAACGCCATGGAGCCTGCAAGGGAGGTGGTAAAGGTGGTAAAGATCTTGGTGGGGATAAGAGTCGCAGGCCACTGCCGAGTTGCATTGTGCTTGTGTTCTCATCGTCTCAGCCCCTCCGCAGACTTGCTTAGACTGCAGGTGGGTGGTAAAGATCTTGCTAGAGCACTCTTACAGCTGGGTCTTCTCGTGCAGGAGCAGATGCCCTACGACGGCGAGGCGGAGTTGGGCCGCGGCCATTCCGCCAAGGTTTCGTTGAGTGGTGGCCTGGATTGTGAAACCTGTGGGAGGCCGCCAGCTTTTGGAAGCCCTGCGGTAACCTCTTGAAGGCTTGCGAGTGCAATGGCCTGGCACGCTCCCAGGCAGCACTTGCAAGCACCTGTCTCTTTCCGCAGGGAGGTGTTGCTTTTTGTGTTTGCAGTGTGCTTACACGCGTGTGGCCCATCTCGCCTCTCAGGTTTTGCCACACAGGGCCGGGATCTTAGACGCAGACCACACTGGCAGAGATTTTAGATTGCACTGAGTTTAGGGTTCAAGGGGCCTTTGACTCCACATTGCAGCGACTCTTCTGGCCCTTGCTGTCAGAGATTTTTCATGAGCTCTCAAGCACCAAGGGGGCTGGGGGTCCATAGTGTGAAGCCCAGTTCTGATTGACCAGCTGAAGCCCTGCAGCGAGTCGGTCTTGAGAGTGCAGCCTTTCGAGGAGCACGTGCTGCCATGTGCTGCCATTGCAAAAGAGGCATTTTCTCCGTCCATCCCCGTGTCCGACGTAGTCTTCTGCCACAACTCCAGCTTCCCGCAGGCAGTGCAGCAGCAAGTCTTCATGATAAATGTTTCGGTGGTGGCTGGAATGTTGCAAGTGAATATGCTGACACCTTGGGCACCCATTCTTAGCTGCCTTCTAACATTCTAACCCGGCAGGTTACCTTCGGCGAGGAGAAGATCAGACGCTTCTCTGAAGCTTAGTGGGTCTCGCAAGTCCTCGAGCCACAACATAGTTCAGGGACAGTACATGACGGTGCCACTCCCAACCTCTTTTCAGGTGATCCAACAGAGTTGATAGTCAGCGACAGGCCTGTCTTGCTATGCACCGGAACTTGAGTGTGAACATGGAGCTGCTCACATTGCGACCTCATGACTGCTGCAATGCCAAATCCCCCGACTAGTAGCCAGGGCCTTATGCCCACATTCACACGCTGTGAATCCAGACCCCGTTGCGCAGCTGGTGCGAGTGCCTTTCGATGGATACTGCTGGTCCTCATGATGTCCGCCGGGAGCACAGCGCCCTGTCGAGTTTTCCCCGCGTTCCCCCAAAGTTTGCGAAGGGAGGGGGGGGGGGGAGGTTACCACGGCCAAAAAGCCTGTGCCAAGGCACACATCTGGCGTTGCTGCATCGGGAGTTTGCAGATGTCTTCTGTGAAGCAAAGAGCTAAGACGGGCGGCCGGGCGGGCATGGGTGTTCTGGAGCTTCTGTGGTAAAGGCTTTTGCCGTCCGAAGAGTTCGAGGTTTACGTGCAATTGGCAAGATCAGCCTGCTAACTTTCGAGTTGGTGTTTGTGTAATGGCATTTGTGTTCGTCCTGTTCCATCTTGCCCGTGCAGAAGCGCCATGTAAACAAGCAATAAAAAGCATCTTCTGAAGTAGGCTAGAAGAGGAGCCAAATGCAATCCCCACATATCAGTACCATGTCCGTGCAGAACGGCATGCATCCTGTTTTATTCTGCCTCGAATGCCATCATCAGTTGTATCAGGAAAGCATCGCAAAAGCATTCTGTCAAAAACTAGCTCGGAACAGCAAGCTTAAACACAAACGCGTGCACCGCAAAGTCTTGCGAAGTTGAGGGCATGTGGCATGTGTGAAAAACCCAAGTAAACCCAGTCGTTTGGATCTGGCTCTGCACTAGTCCAATTTTTGCAAGTCAGTAGGGCCCTTTCCCCCACCTCGAGCTTGCAACCTCCATTATTTCGGTGTTTCTCTTTGTTCGATCTTAGTGTCTTTATTTCCGAAAGCGCTGCGACATGTTTTCCGCGTGCCGCCTTGTGAATGTCCTAACAGAACAAAAGAGTGCACTTGACCAGTCGCCGGGCCGCAGCCTTGCTTTTTAGTGTGGCACATGCCTATCTCAACCCTCGAAAACTCAAACAACACTGTCCTCGCTTTTTGGATGCGCGGAAGCAGTCCCATGGACGTGTGTCTGGACCACAAGCCGCACATTTTGCTCTCGGCGAAACTGTCCTCGCCCGTGGTCGTATCGTCGTCGCGTGTCGGGGTCGAGGTCACCACCCTCGACGCCGTCGTCGGTTTTTTCCCTCTCATCCTCGCCACGAGTCGGAGTCAGCGGGTTTCACCTCATAGAGGACTTAGCATCAGCGGTCATTAATTCTGCAAGCAAAGGGCAGCAAAGACAGCTTTGTCAGGTCTGCACACGTCCTGTCGTGGAAGCCTTCCAAGAAACCTCGAGAACCTCCAGGATATGGTACTTACCCGCATCTTTTTGGCCCCATGCGATGTCAACCCTGCCAGCCCCGTGGAGTTCTCGGCCTGGCGCCGGGACTCTCGCTGGCCCAAAGGTTTCTGTAAATGCTCGCCCGCGTAGTGACGACGCAGTTTCGTTGTTGAATCAATTTCGAGCCATCCGTTGGCAAGTTGGTTTCCTGTTTCTTAAGCTCTTCAACTGGGTCCGAACAGCCTTGAAGCTTCGAGGGCGCAGTTTTTGCACCTCAGAAATGCTGAGGGCAATGGCGACTGCCTTGAGGTGGGGGGCCCGGACAGCATCGAAACGCTTCCTCATGATGTAGCAGCACAAGACACACATCTCGTGCCGTTCTGCGCCACTGGGGCACTGCCCACGCACAGTAACGACCCAAGCCAACAAGGGCCCCTTTGGGGGCTCTTCTCATGTCGTAACAGTTGTAACATATCCAGGGTTTAGGGTTTAGGGTTTAGGGTTTAGGGTTTAGGGTTTAGGGTTTAGGGTTTAGGGTTTAGGGTTTAGGGTTTAGGGTTTAGGGGATTTGGGGGTTAGGGTTTTTATACCTGCAACTCAACTCCCGGAGGCCAAGGTGTCGCTTCCCTTGGCACCGGCGCCGCCCGCCGAAATGGAGTCGCCTTTCAAGGCGGTGTCTTGGGCACGATGTGCGAAGTCTCCCATCGTTTTCCTAGTAGGGTGAGGGGTTCCTCTGTGGACCGTAGTAATAGTAATTATTGTTTTGAGGAGGATGAATATCAGGCGCAAGGGGCTCTTGGCCCGACGCGCCCAAGATTTACAGGGCAAGTTGCAGCTTTTTGAGGAAAGAGCTGGCGACCGAGTCGAAAGCAGAATGTGCAAGAAATCACATCAGAGGGTGCTTCATTATGCAAGGCAGCCGATGCGATTCCCGAGAGTCCACGGTCCCGGTTGGCGATAAAGTCAGAGCCTGAGAACTGCAGAGATGCGAAGAATGAGTAGAGGAGCCCCCCTTTATCTAAGGAATAGATTCAATAGATGATTACCTTAAATCACATATAGGGACTCTTAAATGATCTAAGGTCTATGCGTTGCCCTAGTGAACCCCCAGTGAACCTTTCAATTGCGAGCCGGCTTCGGTCCGGCTGAGCTGAGGTGGTTCATCATCGGTATCGCCGGTGCGCTGGGAATCGCCTTCCTTTCTTTCATCTCATATCGGATGCACCAGAGCAGGATCGAGTAGAGCATAGTACAGCAAGTAGGGCTCGGATGCGGGAACCCTGGCATAGCGAAGTTGGTTCATGCGTAAGGGGCCCATGCTGAAATTTGACGATGCGAGGGTTCTCCTAGACTGTCAGGAGAAACAGTAGAGCGGGCAAGCTCGTTTTAAGACCGCTTTTTCAGTGTGTGGAATGATGAGAGCAACCGCACAGCCTTTTGGCTGCAGTTGCTCCGACGATGCCATGTCGTGTTTGCACGATGCCGCGGTAATCCGCGGAGCTTGCCGGTGACACGGTGCAAGAGAGTTGTCTGGTCCGGACTTCGCAAGCACCTGGAACCAAAAGAGCATTTATCTCAAGCAGACCAGAATGTCACGCATCACGTGTGAATTCAGGTCAAGCAGGGTTTTGCTCGAGAAATCAGGAATTCACGCATGACCAAGGAAAACGGTTTTGCTACCAAAAATCACGCATATTCCAGCCAAGGCCCCATCCCAACCCCTCCTGCCACTCCAAACCTCATACACCCTACACTCCAAACCTCCTACACCCCACACTCTGCACCTGCCCAGAAGTCACAAAGTGCCTCGAGAGGCTTTGCCAGGGACAATCACGCCTGATCCAAGCCCCATCCCAAGCCCGCCCACTCTGAACCTCCTACACCCTGACTCTGCACCAAACCTCATACACCCTACCGACTGCATGGCCGGTAATTCCTACATGGGCTCAATTCTACCAGCTTCAGATGTTTGAGGACTTTCTCAACTTTTTCACAACATGAACCCAAGAGCCTTAAGGGAGATGCGCGGAGGCCCTGCTCCTCCAAAAAAGGAGGGCCACTTCTGGCAGGAGCTCTTCAGCGCCGGAAGTATGATTGTCCCCAGCCTGTATTTGGTCTTCATGGTGGATTTGACAAGGCTGCCCATTCTCATGATGACTGTGGCCACTTGCGTACATTGCCTCGCTTCTGCCAGCTATCACTGCCAATGTGCGTACTATACGACCGACCCAAACTGGGACCACCTCAAGAGCCCTTTGCGCACTGCAGACATGTGCTTCATTCATGTTTGCATGTTCGCGTACTGCTGCGCAGTCTCGCCCGGATTGTGGTTCCCAGTGGCTTCATTTGCCACAAACTCGAGTTGTGTTTTACTCCTGCTGTACCGGCGTCTTCACTGTATTCCGGGCAGCAAAGCCGACTCCTATCGCGTCATTGCGTGCATCCTTCTCTACACTTCGGCGATGCTTTGGAGAGGAGATATCGGAAACTACGCGGGTGTTATGGCTTCATATGGACTGGGAGGATACTTGTGGATCAGAAACGAGAAGCTTGGACACTGGGGTCATGGGCTTTTTCATCTGATGCTGGTGCCCTGCACTTACTGTGTGGTCCAAAGTGCCAGCATGCCACAATAACACGCTGCAAGTTGTCAACTACCTAGATGCACAAGATACTGCGCGATTGCATCGGGTTGGACTCAGCTGACGTGGAGGAGCTCGCCCTTAGGGTTTAGGGCTTGGGGTTGAGCAGCTGGAGGGTGAACGCTACATGCGAGGCCGATGTCAGGACGTCCGCGGCCTCATCAGGAAAGGTCCAAACTTGTCATCTCTGGCACTCTTCGTCTCGAGCCACCGTTCTGAGAAAAGCTGCCAAGACCAACCGTCTTACAGGAGTCACATCCCCCAAAGGTCCGCAGGGCGTGTTGGAAGGCCTCGCCGCCCTGGCATGTCGCCGAGGCATTGGCTCGGCAAAAAAGGGCGCAGCTCGTTTTCTGGCCTTGCGCTGTTTTCTTCTGCTTCTTGCTCGTGTGCGGTTCTCGTCGTGTGTCTCCGATCGTGCAGAATGCCATCAGACGACCTTTTACACTGAGGAACTGCACATTCGCCCAGAAGGCTCAGAGAGCCCAAGCTGCAGGAGATTTCTGCGCAGTTCGTGTTGCGGGTAAGTGATGGCAGTACCTCCGCAGCAAGTGCCCCATTCTCTCCATCCTGGTACATATGATCGGGATTATACAGTAGCCTTCAGAAGTTCATTGGTTGAGTAGATTTTGCAAAGGAGGTGCTAAACTGTTCACCCCAAAGCCTACCTTCAGTTGCGAGACTACCTGTCTTTTGCATGTCCCAAGGCAGGCAGTGCTTCAGGGGAGTTACAGCACTCTGGGTCTCATTCATCATGGACCCTGGTGTCCTGCGATGCCTCTAGCAGCCAGCGCCCCTTCAACAGGCTCATAGGAGCAGGCTCATAGGTGGGTTCAACGCTGCCTCAGCTCGGCATATACTTGACGCTAGCTGCAGTACTGAAAACCTGGTGCAGGAGCGAAGCTCCTGATTGTGACCATGCGAACCTCAGCAGTCACCATGGGCGTCAGCACAGAGTCCCATGCTTGCAATCACTTCCCGTGTAGGTGGTGTTTTTGCCATCCTAAACCCTGAACCGTAACCCCCCCCCCCCCTTTGTGTTGCATCGGTTTGCGAGCTGCGACCCGAAAGGTTGGGCGGGAAGGAGCCGAGCATACCGGCTCTGGGCATCTCGAAAGCCGCAGGGCGACAGGCCTCGAGCTGGGACTTTTCTCGGTTGCTGATAGCATCAGCTTTCAGGTTTGGCAAGTAATCGTTTAGCCATGATAGCAACGCTTTCTTGGTAAGAGCGAGGTGAAATGTCATGCGTAAGAAAGCAGATTGAAAGTGGCAGTGGCAGTGCGATTAAGACGCACTTCATGAGTAGGAGGTAGGATAAAAATGTAGTATGCAATAAGCCGCCAGCAAACAAAAGAAGCATAAGGAAGAAGTAGTAAGAAGGATAGTTGTTTGCAGATGTGCATGTCCAGCACTGCCCATCTGCTTGAGTTCTGCTCGGTGCTAAATCTTTGCTGTGCTTGTCGAGCCTGCAGGTCGTTCTGGCGATGCAGAAAGAGAAGAAACTGACTGCTTCGTGCTGGAAGAGGCAGGCTCGCAGATGTTGACTAGCAGGTGGCGCGCGGTCTGAGCGCTTGTCTGCTCAGGAAAGGCAACATGTTCGGGGACCTCCTGAGCGAGGAGGGCTCAAGATCCAGTTGTTCGATCTCGTCTCAGAGGGGGCGGGGGCGCACGCGAGGCCTTCACCGGAGTCCTCGCCGTTGCTCTGGTTGCAGCCGGCGCCTGGTACGGTGTCGAGGCCCCCCCGTTTTCTGTTAAAAAAACAGTGCTTTGGGGGCAATCTCTAAGACTCTAAGAGGCCCCAACTCTGCATGATCCCCCCCCCTTTATTATTACGATTATTACTACTATTATTATTACTATTGTTATTATTATTATTATTATTATTATTATTATTTTCATTTTTTATATCCCAAACTCACGGATCCTCAGCAGCAGAGGACCTGAGGAAGCCAAGCTCTGCGGAGGCCTCCGCACAGCTTCTCTTCTGGTCTTCCAGAAGCTCCAAACAATGAGGGTTTAGGGTTTAGGGTTTAGGGTTTAGGGTTGAGGGTTGAGGGTTTAGGGTTGAGGGTTTAGGGTTGAGGGTTTAGGGTTCAGGGTTTCAGGGTTTAGGGTTGAACGAGACTCTGCTTTCGTTGTGCTTTGCTCCCTCACAATTGGAGCACTTGCAGTCGATACATCCTCGTTTCAGTCTTAGCGGAAGCCGGAAGCCGCAGACTACATCATGCACAGCCAGCTATTCGATCATTCTCAATTGACCAACAAGTTGGAGCACACGGCTGCCGTCAGGATGCGGACCGACAAAGCGAGGTGGTCGCAGTGGAGGTCCCTTGAGTCATGTGGGGCGGCCTAAGGTTATACATGCAACATCGTACATCGTTCAACACAAAGCGGTTGCTCTTGCTAGAACCCGGCCTAATTCAAGAGGACTGTGTAAAATGCATGTCCCTGGATATATCTGGACATGCAATTTGTGACCTCGATGGTATGCGAGAGCAGAAGGAGTCCTCCGGGCTTCACTTCGTGCTGTTTGGCTCGTTGCTGCTGACAATCCTCTACTTCTTCATGAAGCGCCTCGGGCCGTGATTGCGTGTGCTAGGGGCACTGCCCTAAACTGAAGGCTTGAAGCTGCTTGGCAGGTATCTGATCTACCTGCTGCTGTTCCTCTTCGCCTCTGGGGCGGTGCCAGCTGCTTACTGTGAGTTCATCTCCGCAGCAGGTTTCGACGTGGCAGTTTAGCACAGGTCCACAACGTGCGTGCTCCTCGAGCCCGCCTTTGCCTCCTGCTTCCCAGCGTTGCGGGCGAAGAAGGCCTTGACTGTTTAGACTGCCACGCTTTCTTTTGCGGAGTGCGAGACCATGCCGACCATGGCCCCCCATCCTTCGCAGACTTGCTTTGTAGCAGAAAAATGATCCTTTCGGAGAATCTGCTCATTGTAATTAGAAAGCAAGGAGGAGTTGAAAGGTGGCCCAGTGCTTAAATAGACAGCTTTGGGAAGTTCGGAAGCTCTGATCATGTGGCAAATCTGCCGTGCCCGTCATGCACGACAAGCACATACAAGCACCTGCAGACATGAACCGCGAAAAAGCATAAAAAAGCTAAGAACAATATGGAGCATGCTCAGCAGAATCACACTGTCGCCTCATGAGCATGGGATCCGTGAAGTACAGCATGGCTTTCTTTCGTGCTGCCAGGCCTGCTCACTGCCAGACGTGGTAGTGAATGTGCTTGGAGTCGAGAAGGACAGGGGATTGAAGGGGCTTCTGCAGCAGACGTCCTGCAAGTCAGCGACATTTTTACATTTTTGCCACAGCTCTCAGACGCGTAGCGCACGATCCTTTAGAGTTCCAGGAGCAGACGTGGACGGAGGTTATGTCCGAAGCGGTTGGTGTTGTTCCACGCTCGGGCATCCTTGCTTTAGTTAAGCTAGCCGAAGCTGGCGAACCTGAGCTATTCAATTCAGTTCCCCGGACAGTTCGGCGAGCAAGGTTCTCGCGGTTTGCTTCCTGATTTTTCGAAACAATGACGACATCGGCAGCGCCCCCAACGTGTGCCAGTACTCAACGCAGAAGTTCACAACGATCCATCAGATTTACGTCCTCCTGGGAGCTCAGGTTGGGCTCTGCAGGACATTATTGCCATTATGTTCCTGCTCACCTTGCAGCGCACTGTGCGGCTGCCGAACCTGAAGGCGAGCTCAAGTCGGCATCATTCGGCAAAAGTCTCGTGTGTGTGCTTGAGTTGAGAGGTGTGGTGCCTGAGCTGTGCTTTGGTAAGGTGGGGACGCTGCTACTCATTTGTACTTTTTTCTTCGATATCTTCTGGGTGTTCATCTCGCCCGTGATTTTCAAGAAGTCCGTGATGATCGAGGCCGGCCACGCACGGTCATGCAAGCACCCACCCCTGAGCTGCCACGTTGGAGTGCGCAGCCGGAAAGTAATGCGAGCATACTCGTAGTTTCATCTGCTGGGTTGTGCATGCAGCCTGCCGCATGTATTCACGACAAAGGTGGCGACAGGAGGTGGTACCGGGCAAAGCGTGCGCGGGGCTCGGCGGCGCTGGCAGGTGAGATGTTGGACCTGAAAGCGCTACGCAGGTCTAGCGTTAAGTGCCTCTTGGCCTCTTAGAGGCATGTTCCAAGCGTGATCCTTCTACTCCCGACGGTCACCCTCTCAAACTCCCGTCTTCAGGCCCATGGTGCTGAAAATCCCTGCGCTCGACGGTGAGCTGCCAGGGCAGTTCAAGGCTCTGACGGTTCAGAAGTTCAGAAGTGTAGCAGCCCTGAAGTCCATAAAAAAACTCTCAACTCCCGCATTGCCCCCTCTAGAATCTATAGATCATCCCCCCAAAAGTGCCCAGAGAGATCCCCCTCTCGTGGCAGATCTTGGGCCTTGGTGACATCGCCATCCCGGGGCTCCTGATTTCGCTGCTGCTGCAAAGGACCCAGGGAATGGCCCACTGGCCCACTTTAAGTCTACGATGTAAAGGGCGAGCGAAGTTTGCTTAGTCCATATTTTTGCAACCAAGTTCCGTTGGCCTTTGTTGTCTTTAGGGCACTTTTGCGCTTAGGCGGCATGACCTGGTGAAGCGCCACCGCCGATGTGCTGGGTGCGCTTGTTGTCTATTTAAAAGGGCTTTAGGGTGTAGGGATGTCTAGGGTTGATGAAGTGAGTCGTGTGGCCGCTTCATGTCATTAATACGCCTCCGACACCAACCCGAAGCAGTTGTGCTTTGGCAGAGGTACTTTCTTGCTGGCGTCATTGGCTATGGTGTCGGCTTGCTAGCGACTTTCGTGCTGGCATCTTAGCATCCGATCCACAAGAGGGCCATCAGGTATTTGTGAACGCTTTCTCGCGCCGCCTCGGCAGCCGCCTCCTATGGAAAGCGACCGCGGGTCGAGGAAACATGCCCACAATAAGCCCGAAACTTTGCACCAGCAGCGCAAGTGAGCTTGGGGGGACGCACAAAAAGGAGGCTTGCTTTTCTGGAGGGGGCGGGAGGACCAGAATTTTTGACGCCTTTCGGCCGGAGGCCGAGGCGAATTCGGCGTATGTCGGGGCTGGAGATGGAAAGATGGAACAGATCCTGTCTACCCTTGATGAATGCAGCAACTGCGGCAACACTTTTCCCCACCCCTCCCACACCACGGATGTGTCTCGCCCGGAGAGGTCCTTGTATTTGATGCAGCACGGCCAGCCAGCCCTCCTCTTCTTGGTGCCGGGTACATTGGTTTCAGCCTGAGAGCAGATTAAACATAGCTTGGCAGCAATTAGCTTCGGCTCATGTAAAGCATCATGTACAGGTTACTGCAGGCCTGACAGTCTGTTGAGCTTTGCCGCAACTGAGATTCCCACCTGCCTCATCGCCCTGCGGAAGGCCTGGGCTCTTTGATGTCAGCACGAGAAGATTTGAAATCTAGCTGCCAGGGCGAGCTGAAGGATCTGTGGGCAGCCAATTACGGCCCCGAACCGTTGGAAGGCCCATGGGCAGATTTTGACAGCTGAAGACGGCGATGGCGTATGATATGAGATGCGTTATGATACGGGTGGTGGAGCGATGGAGCACTATCCCTAGGGCATGGCAAGAGTTGCAACCTTCGGTGGTCAGGCGATGTGGAGAAACAATCCTGAAGAGGCCCCCCACTCTGCACAGTTTGGGTCTTGCTGAATACAGAAAGGGCGCAGCTGTGTTCTTCTGGTTAGCTTTGAGCAAGCTTGCTCAGAAACTCTCCATCCGAGTTTTCTTGAGCTCTTGCTAAGGGTTCGAGGGGTTGGAGTCCATGAGATCCATGAGCCCTCATGATCTACGGTTGTCAGGCGAAGCCTCAAAAGCCGCCTTCCTGGTCTTTCGCCTGCATCTTCGCAACATGGCAGGACTCGAGTTGCTCTAGTTATCTCTAGTTCTGGCCTTGGGTCTGCTCACACAGCTTTGGAGCTCCGGCAAGGACCTGCATCCAGAGTGAAAGGAGATACAGAATGAAGAGAGCGGCGGTCACGCGTGCAAGAAAGCGCTTGTACAGGGTGTTGCCCGGATGTTGACTGGGAACATGCCGAGCAGGAATCTTGGCTCTTTGAGTCGAGGCTGCGGACGGCGAAAGACGGCAAGAAAGCTTCGACCTTCGATTCTGTGCTTGTCGCTTTGCGTCTGAGCCGTTCGGAACGAGTTCGGGACTTTAGTCACGCAGCTAGACTGTGGTAGGTGCAGCTTTTTTTACGTACATGCCGGGAAAACTTCATGTCAACATTCCGATCCTGCTCCGTCGACTGCATCGCTTGGATCTGGATCGCTCGCAAGAAGTGCGTATGCAAGTTCATCCGACGATCATACGCAGATCTCAGACACGCAGACGGCTGTACACCAACTAGGACCAACCGATGCAGCCGATTATTTCTAAGCAGCCAACAAACCTCTGGTAAATTGTCGGCGCCGTGGCTGGTGCCCTGAATGCCCCTGCAGCAAGCCCTCAACTCTTCGAGCCACTAAGAAAACGAGCCCAACGCCATCACTGATCAACTTCCTGTTCTGGAACCAACCGCGTGCCACATGGTGGAAACCGAACTTCGGTCCTCCCTGCCCGGGCAGAGCCCCCCGGCAGTACTGGTGTCCATTTGTCGAACTTCGAACCCACTCGCCCTGAAGATTTTTTGATGGCCCGGGTGGTTTGCCCTTACTTTCCCAAGTTATGGAAGCAGTTGAAAAGGGGCAGGCGATAAGGAAACACATCGAGCTTCTAACGATAAGGTACGAGCAATTTGTGGGAAGTATGCTGTACAATAAGGAGGAACGACAAGGCTTGCAGTGGGACCAGTATAAATGAAGAGTGGCCTTGCACATGCACGCGTCCTGAAGGCCAAAGAAGTACCAGGTGAGGGAGTTTCAGGGCACTGCATGTTTTTCATCGGAGTGGGTTTGAGGCTTGATGTTTGTTGTTGGGTTTGGGGGGGCGTGTGTGTATGTGTGCGTGTGTGTCGTATCTGGGCTTCTTGGGGTGAGGAGAGAAGGCTTGAGGGACTTTAGGGCGCAACATACAGGGCCCTAAACATCCTCAACGCTGAAACGTGAGCCCTTTCTGTCTTACTGCAGGTGTTAGAACAATGCGTACATATATATATATACACACATATGTATATGTTCTATATATTTGTATACGTGTATATCATATCTTGAGACTCACCCTGGCACAAATGCAGCCTGCGTTCAGCAAGCGAGAACAGGCCTGCTGGTCCCATGCGACCGGCAACTGAAGATGGGCTCCCAGGGCCTCTGCGTCTCCTCACTGGCGGCATCCTCGGCGTCCCGATCCTGTGGCACTTCGCTCGGGGGTCTCGCAAAATAGGGGTGCCCTTTTTTGTGTGTTCCTACAACACAGGAGTATCGTACTTGGGGGTATATGAGGGGCCCCTACGTTCGGAAACACCCTATTACGGGGAGAATGTGCTTTGGTCAACTTGCGAGTTCGGCAAAGGTCTGCGATGTCAAGAGCCAGGGCAACACTCAGGACCGCGCCGCTTAGGGCTAAGCTGCTGAAGGGATGTGACGTGTACAGAAAGGAGTGCCGTTTTCTTTCCGTTCACGCTGCATCAGCCTCCGAGAGCGTGAATGCAACTGATGCAGTTATGCTTTGGCACTCCAAGGGGTAAGTCATACCAAGCCAGGGTCACCGGGGCATTTGGATTTTCACAACTTCACTTAGAGACCCCTCGCTGACATGGAAGGAGATGTCCTTGGACGGTACATCGAAATTTGAGAAGCTCCTGGACAAGTCGGAAGGCCATTCCTTCTTGCCTCATTATCCCTTGGAGCTGCGGCCATGGTTTACAACCCCCTTGTGAGAAGCTGTGCTGTGGCCGAAAGTCAGTGGAGGGGCACGCTCACTTGGGAGTCCGCAACGTGACCCAGGCCTCCCTGGCCGGCCGGCCAAGCTAGAGCAGTCTTTGGCGGCAACTTCCAAGCTGCTGCCGTGCCTGGGCAGAAGTGAGCCCAGGAAGTGGCTTTCTCTCCTGTTTGGCAAAAGAGCCACCTTTGAGGAGCTAAACCGAGTCCTCATGATCCATTCCGGCGCAGAATCGAAATTCAGGGGGGCCCCCTCCTTCCCCCCACTCCTCCCCCGATGCGCACAAGTTCGTAAGCCATCGGAAGTCTGCGTCTGCCAGCACTTGCTCCACCCAGGAACATTCTTGAGGATGCTGCTGATTCTTGGCTGCAGAGCTATGGCAGCTAGGGTGTAGTGCCGGGAAAGAGGAGGTGCACAGAATTGCACAGCTGTCGTGCATAGTTTCCTCGCGCTTGCCCTTCTCAGCACAGTATCGTGGCTTTCGACTTGGTTTCTGCAACGCCGCTGCGCAAAGAACAGTGTCGGCTCAAATCTTCCTGGTGCTACTGGGGATACTCCTTGAATTTCGGGGGCCTTGTGAGCTCAACAGTTTCGACAGCCTTCACTGAGGAAGATCCTGGTGCGACAGAGGTGCTGCAGAAAACAGTGAACCTCAGTGGCAAGGTGGAGTCTCATGTTGTGAAGTAAAGACCGGAGTTGTCATAGCTGCAGAGGGTTGAAGGTGGCTTCAGTGGAATCTCGTGTACTAATGAGGCCCTACGGAGCGAGGGATTTCGTGTTTGCATCGAGGGGGCTTGTGGCCCTGTAAGCTCAGGAAGCTGCAGCCGAGTCGGTCGCCTCCAGGCACATTGAAGGAGGCTCGGAGTCAAAGGACGAGACACACTGGAGATCCTCTTGAGATCCTCTTGAAGTCACGTGAGAGTTCTCGCACGCATCAGAAGAGAGAGAGTTCCTGACCAAGTGCCGCGTGCTTGATCGTGGTGGCATGTTGAACCGAGCAGAGGCCTTGGCAGTGCTGAAGGAAGCAGCTGCTAGTGTTCAGCGTGCAGAGGCCGACAACGCATCGGCTCGGTGGTTCTTTGCTCTTTTGGCGTTGGCTGAGGGTACACAACGCTTACAATGCTTACGCTGTAGAGGGCCCTTTGAAGCTGGTATGGTTCTTTTTTGACCAGTTTTGTTTTTGCAGCACAGGGCACTGCAAGTCTTGTGCTTGTGCTTGCGTCACGTTCTGGCGTGGAGTGCGAAGGTGACTGCACTCAAAGTTGAAGAAGGGCCGACAAAGACTCTGAAAGAAAAGGTGGACGGCGAGGTGCTACATTACGTCTATCTCTCTGCTAATGCTTCCAAGACAGGTGGGGCAAGCCCAATGTGCACTGGCTCAGGTCCCAAAACGGCGTGCAAGTACACTGCCATGCATGAAAGCTATGAAGCCTATAGTCTATGCTCTGGGCGGAAGTGGGCGTTTCGGGTGATGCTCCTGGCCAGGCAGTGAGCCCGGACGTTGACTTGGACAACTCTTTGATGGAAGCATCGAAGGTCCGATGACTGAACGCAGCTGATTGGGGGGTGTGCACAGGGATTGACTAAGCTTCCGGCTCAGAAACTCAGGAACTCGAAATGAACAACAGTCAGGCTTAGTAAAGTCAGCTGTGTGACTGACCGACTGCTTTCAAGTCTAGCGCTTACTGTCTGGTCGCTGGATCCACTTATTCTGAACCCACGAGTCTCGCAGATGTGCATGGTTTCAGCATGTTCGTGAAATCGAGGTTGACGAGCCATCAGCCTCTCTGCATGGTTCTGCAGCACTTCTGGAAGCCCGGCACCAACCCGAGCGCAGCGCGATGCGCCTTCTCCTCGCCCAAAGCCGAGGCCGAGGTGGCGGAGCTGCGAGCCCTCCTCGAAACAGCACCAGGGCACTGCAAATGGTCGCAACTCATAGGATGACCTCATCCTGCTAAATCCGACAGAGTTGGCCCGGCCCAGGCAATTCAGGACTCTGGCTACGACGAGGCGCTGCTTGACTCTTCTTCTCAGCCAAAAAAGAGCTCTGAGACGCCAGTGTGGATGCAAAGCGCGTCCTTGGCTGTGAAAGGTGGCCCCGGAGGATGAACGCACAGTCAAGTTCGAGGACAGGATGCGCTGTTTTGGGGGAGTCATGGTCACACTGAGTCTTGAATCCACTTGTGATCACTTGTGTAAATTGCCTTCTCTGCAGCAATTTAGGGCACAAGAAGGGAAGCAGAGTTCCTGTCTGTGTATCGAGCATGGTGGTAGCCGCGACCCTGCAGATCAGTCAGACTGATGGGCAGGGCACAGTTGACATAGCAAATGTGCGACAGTGGGCCGAGACGTTCCGCAAGTTTGGGGTGGTTTTGATGCTAGTGTCTGGACCTGATGAAGGGCCCTGGGAATTTGTTGCCATTGAGACGGAGCAGGGCTTCCTCGCCAAGTTCCTGGGCCATGCAGCCGCCGGCACATTGCCGAAATGTGTGTGTTGCGTGTTGAGGGTGCGCCAGGCTCCTGCGGGTCGTGTGCTCGTCATGGCCAAGGCAAGTGGAGGCCGGGACGTGAGGGAAGTCATAAGCGGCTGGGATGTTGTGAGCCACGTTCTGGCGTATACGGCGGTGCGACTGGTGTGGCTGGATGTTCTTCCAGGAGCTTACCTTTTCTTAGTTGAGGAGGCAGCTGGCTGGGCTGCAGACATCAATGAAGTGTTCGCCACGCAGATTCTAGTGGCTTTCCAACACGAGGAAGTGGAGGTGACACTTTGGCCCGTGGCTTCTGCTCCCTCTGCACTGGAGTCGGCATTGACTAGCTTTCCAGCAGATCTGACAGCTGCTCTAAGAGTCGATGCTTCTGATGACGAGCAGGCACCAGCTGGGCGATCGGATGTACATGTACATGTTACATGTCCTGGCAGCTACTAGCACTTGCTCTTCTTAGCCTTAATGGAACTGAAGAAGCTCCAGTAGCGCCTGGCTGAGAGCTTCGAATGATACGAGTCACTTTGAAGTACCACGCTTCGCCTTTTCGGGCAGTGTAGAGTTGTGGTACTTGTACGCGCACCGGCTTTGGATCACTTCCAGAAACCCAGGGTCTTCAGCCCAGAATCACACCCAGAACTTATGCGACCTCAGAATCCCACGATCCCGCCAGGCCAGGCCATATAAGGTGGTGCTGTGCCACTACTACGAGAGTGGCTGGTGCAAGTATGGTGACCGTTGCACATATGCTCACGGTCCGGAGCAGCTGAGACTACCATCAAAGGCTGAGGCTGTGGGCCAGTACTGTTTCAAGCAGTTGCTGCCGTTGCATTCTCTAGGGTTTCTTCATGCTTCTCCAGTCTCCACTTCTGAGTTCCTGCAGCTGCAGGCAGGAAGGGAGCCATGCGCGTACTGGCGCTCTGGTGGCCACTGCAGCAATGGCAGCTGCTGCCCATTCATGCACGAGGTGCCCTGAGCATACGCAGTGCAATGCCATTTAACTTCGAAGAGTACCCCACCCCAAGAAAACCGGCCCAGTGCACATGTGTAGGCTCCGGGCGCTTGGCCGACGGACAGCTGGCTATGAATCCTCGACATCTTAAAACCACATGGCAAGTTTTGGCCTCAGATTCAAGACAGAAGACGGTTCTCTTGGCACTGAAGAGCCAAAGAACCCCACATCTTAGGTGTGAGGATGCCTTGGAGATGTGAGCATTCGGCCGCAGCAGTTTGTACAACATGTGTAAAGTTCTGTTTCTGGAGTGCAGAGACAGTCTGCGGGTGCACAGGGCACTGCACAACACAATGCCGGAGCTATGGCACTCACTTCATTCATCACTGTCTCATGTCTGAATCTCTTGCCAGGCAGAGCCTTGCAGCTGCGTTATATCATTCATTTGGTGTATGTAGGCACAAGTTTCAACACCAATCCTTCATGTTCTCGCTTCTTCCCCCTTTGAACGGCTTGATGGATCCGAAACACGGAAGTCGACATGAGTTCTCGGGACGGTGTGGTCGGTAAAGCGCACTCTCGTTCGAGGCATCTGCGCATCATTTTTAGAGACGTGGGCTAACGCAATCGCGCTCCCGCTGCACTGCTTGCGATCGACATGCATCTATGATATTTATGTGCAAATACATGCGATACATGGTTTAGGGAGTCGGATACGGAACCGGAACAGAAATGTGCACAACCTGGATCCCGAAGCCAATCCGAAAGGTGCTAAAACCGCGACCGTATTCTTGAAACCCAAAGCCCTCAAACACAGCCTGAACTCTGAAGCCTTTGGCCCAATCTCGTCGCAGAAGAGCCAAGGAGGTAGACGCAAAATAAGTTGAGGAACTTGTCGTCGTTTTGTGAGTGCCGCAGTTAATTACTGCACGACTGACTATGCAATGGTGACGAAACTGAGTACCAGCCCTTTGACACAGACAATCTGAATAGATTGCTACCAAGATATGAGTTCTGTGCTCTCTTTGTCACCCGGGCAGTCAAGCAAGCGTTCGCTGCACATGGAGTCCTTGCAGAGTGGCGAACAAGCACTGCTTGGATCAGCCCATTCCATGGTGCGTAGGCTTCTGCACATGTTGTAGCCGCAGCTTATGGACAGCAATTTGCACAAATTACCGTCTCTGGTTTCATGCGGGGACGACTGCACAGATAACAAAAGGCAGTTGCTCCACGTAGTTGCAAGCAGGTACAAGTGGCCTTTCTTTCATGGTTGCCATTGCTATGCAGTGCTTCTGACTCGTGCGGAGCAGCGAAGCTTCCTGAGCCTCAGAAAACCTGTCATGTCGAAGGCCCCGGCGAAGAACGTCGGAGCGAGGGCCCTAGCCAAAGGCTTTGCCCCAGCGGCTGCCATGAAATGTTGTAGCAGTGCTCCTTGGTTTTCCATACAAGGTCCCTAGGTTGAGAGACTAAACCAACCGTCTCTTGATGGCAGGTGTAGGCTGGAATGAAGAGTCGCTTGAAATATCTTTCCCCAGCTCGTTGCGACCCAGATCTGCGGCCCCGGCACATCGGCAGAGGCGCGGCATCTCTGGTTGCCTGCCGCCATTGGGGCTATAGTCCGTCAAAGTCCATCAAGCCTGCGACTGCAGCAAACTTTCACAAGTTCCGCACAGAGTCGGAGAGGTGACCCCAAGAAAGTGCGGGGGCCCAGACATCACTTGGAGTGGCCAGGGATGGTTTCGGAACTTGAACGGAAAGGGTTCCGAACTCTAATCCTGTCCCCCGATAAATGACGGACCCCCCCTTCCGCATGTGAAAGCTGGGGCGGACAGGTTGTTCTGTCGGTCAGCACCTGAACCCTATAGAACTCAAAGCCTCAACTACTAGCCTTCAACCCAGAAGCCTGCAAATCCGCAAGCCCTGAAGCCTAAACCTCAACCTTACTCCAAGATCTTGAAAGCCAGACCCAGACAGCCCCTCAGATTTGAAGGTTTGGGCCCCCCTCACTCACAGATTGCCTCCTAACTCCAAAAGGGCCCGGTGGCAATTATCCGTCAGAGTTTCTCTGAAAGGGAGGTCGGCCCAATCTTCCCTTGCAAAACTTTGCTCGCTGCAATGTGGTCCGGGTTTGCATCCTGTTGCAGTTTGCATGTGTATCATCTGTAACCACATGGAAGTGCCACGTCTGATCCATTCCGCACAATGCTGCTACCATCTCTTGTGTTGTGCGTGTTGAGCACTGAGTAATGCGCGATTTCAGGGCTCAGTCACCCTGGCATGTTAAAGCCCAGGCGCTCCCAGACGAAGAGCATCATTAGTCCAAGTATCCTTAATTTAGCCGCTAACGCGAGGCCGCCTCGTCAAGGGCACCGAGCCGAATTCAGGGTTCACTAGGGACCATAGGCTTCACGGGCGCTTGAAAGTGGCCCAGCAGGGAGCTGGCAGGGTCCCCCTTGATCCCGCCCACGTCCGCGAAACTGATCAGCGAGGGGGGGTACCCATTCCGGGCGAAAAACGGGCTTGGCTGTGATATCCCTAAACTTGGATCCAAACGTCTGGGGCCTCCCCGGCCTCGGATTTGTTCAGTTGTCCTTGTGTGAGGCTGACACGTGGGATGGCACCAGCGCTTGCAGAGGTCGGCTGCCCTGACTATAGATTCTAGATCATTCTGTCAAATGTGGCAGTAGCCTCAAGAGGAGGTTTGGGGGGGCTCTGGGGCCCTTCAGTGCACCCGGCGCTCCTGTCAGGATCTCTACGACTCCTCGCGCTCGCAGAGCGCTGGGCCGTTGGGATCCCACTTCTTCTGGGGTTGTGTGATGCTCGGGCTGTAGACATCTTACAAGTTGCCTAGCAGGACCGAGCACTTTGTGAGTTTTGTGAGGGGGTGACAGGCGTGGTGCTCTTTCTCCCTCCCCGGCAGCAGTCCTCGACCAGGTGTCGCAGTCATTCTGCGCTGTCCTGTGCATCGTGGATGGCCATTGCCCCACGATTTTCCGTTAGCTTCCACGACACAGTGGATAATGTCATGGAGACTTAGTTTGTGATCTCTTCTTCCAAGCTTCAAAGGCTTCTTCTGTGGGCGACAGCCTTGAGTTCAGCCGGTCTTCCGTGGGCAGAAGACTGAGATGATTGGGATTCATGAGAAAGGCATTGAAAGCAGGGATGCGACAACGCAACAAAAACATATAGAAATTTAACTGAGACATGTAGATAAACCAAAAAATATTAAAAAACAAATAGAAAAGTAAATACATATACATACATATGTATATATGTATATATTTGTTAATGTATGTGTATGAGCTCTGTCAGGCTTTACGGTCTGCGAGGATGGAGATGCAGCAAAGCCACGAGAGGCATGTCTTTGTTTTGTCAGCCAAGCTCTGCAAGTGTCTATTGCCTGTGGACACGTGCCACGACCCACCCTCCTGCCCGCCCTCTTCACGCCCTGGCATAGCGATGATCCACAGAATTCCACGGAGAGCAACAAACACACGGTGTCAGCAGTTTGGAACAAAGACACAACAAACACGCGGCACCAACGGAATGACAGCGTCAGCAGGGTCAACCAAGGCAAAGAAATCACGCGGTGTCTGGCGTCTGACCGACCCACGGCCGACACCAATTCAGATGGATTGGTACCCAGCAAAATCAGCACTGCACTTGCAGGCTACATGCGCCGTGAACGCAGCCATTGAAAACATCAAGACACTAGATTGGTTTCAGTATGAATAGATACAGCAGCGAAGGATTCTTTTGCGAGTTGAACATGACATACCAACTTCTTCAAGCTGTCAGATGCTTCGCAAATGCAACATCAAACCAGCCGTTGATAACCGCAGACAGCAGTGGATGTTTGTTTTTCTTGGGTGATGCGGGGTAAGCCAACTTACAAGAGATGCTTTGTCCATTCAAAAAGCAGTAGGGGCACAGCAGGTTTGGATTCAAGGCAGATGCAGATACGACCGCTGCAAGATATCAGATATGCCATGGTATGATGCAGTGCTTTGCGCCCAAGCGGTGGACCTCTACTTATATTGAAACAGCGAGACGAACGCATACGAGCCGCACAACACGCAACCACTTCCGCATGCGTTTGCTCTAAAACAAGTGTCTTGTTTCTAATGGTTTCAGGGGTCGAGGCCATCTCTTGCTTCATGTTCTTCTGCAAGACACCAGGCCCGCAAAGGAAGCTTCCCTGAGATGTCTTCGAGCACAGGCTCATGGGAAGGGAGAGCTAATTCCGATGCTTTGTGTGTGTGTAGGCCGTGTAACCCGGGCCCCAAAACACATTCGAGAATCTCCAGGCCCTTATCTGACTAGCAATAGCTGGCATGCCCAGAACTTAAGACTGTAGCTCTGGAGTGTAGACGCCCCATGGACATCCCCTTGCCGCCCTTGAAGTGGGCAGGCATGCTGGTCCATCAGCTGTACCAACGTGTTCTACAAAAACTGTATGTCTTTTTCGGTATACTACGTATAGTATGTAAGTATATACCATTATATGCAATGAAGCCTTATGATGTCATAACATGTAGTTAAGCGCCCCGAAGGCTCAGGATCAAAAATCTGCCTTACAAGACCTTTCCAAGAGCAGCGTCGAAGCCACAGTACTACAAGAGCAGCGTCGAAACCACACACGGGTGAAATAACTGCAAATGCATCTCCATGTTGGAGCATCGAAACCGTGCACGGGTGAGTTTAATGCTCAGGGGGATCCTTTGGGAATACTCTCTGGGTTGCACTGCAGGGGCTTTTCTATACTCTTGGGGCTGGGCAGCCCACTGTACTCTGCACTCCAGGGGTTCTCTTGGGTGGATCCAGGGATTCTCTGGCGATGCTCTGGGGTGGGATACGGCTGATGGGTGAGGAGTAGACCGGCCGTGCACTGAGCCTAGTTAACTGCAAGTCTCACACATGCCAGTTCAGTCAATGCTGTTCTCCTGGTGGTTCTCGAACAACTGCACTAGCTTTCGTTCCTGCCGTCCCCCTACGATGCTCTTGAGTATGCAACACCCCGGCTCCTGAACTCCTTAGCATCTCAAGCCAGCAAAGAAAATGCCCCTGTGAGGCCAAGATTCCTCGACGGCTTCAGTGAGTGTGGACAGTGCCAAACTCAAGGCCGGGTTGTCAAC